CACCTCGTCCCAAAGTAGCCGGATCAACAACTCGTTAACAGTCTGGAGCAGGATCAGAAAAAAACTCAACTTTTCTTTTGCTCCATTTTTCTAAACACAACGTGTTTGGTTCATGCGAATTAGAGACGAGATGGAAGTTGAGGGGTGAGGAGATTAAAATCCGTTGATTGATTAAGTGGGCAGAGAAATGGAAGCTGAGGAAGCCAATTCGCACTGTTTTCTTCCCATGGGATACACTAGGCAAAATTTAATCCCACACTAATTCTCATCGTATGCCAAATAAGAAAATGGGAGTAAAAATATATTTCTCATGAAATCCCTCGGCGATCTCTTTTGTGCAAACTCCCCTTTCCCTCTCCAAGCGGTTGTTGGAAATGAATTGATAGTTTGCAGATCTTTTTCTTTGAAGGAGTAGATTTTTTCTATAGGTCTTGCTCTAGTTTCGCCGCAAATCAAACTAGGCCCCGGAAAGTAGAGGGTTCCCCAGCCATGGGGTACTCCCAGTGCTCCAATGTCAAAAAACATTTTTAGATATTTCGAAAAATTCAAGTCCAAACTCAAAATGCACATTGAAAAAAAAGTGAAATCTAGCATGAATAGTGTAAAAAAGACAAAGCAACATTTTTTGCAAATAAATTCCTGTATTACTCCAAAAACTCAAAAGTTTACAATCAAGTTCAAAAATTTCTAAAGTGCCAGGGGGCTGATCCAAGCCAAACAAACAGTGCGGCGTTCGGATCTCCCAAAATTTGCCATGAAATGACTAGATTTATTTTGGCGATGACGAATATGAGAAATACAAGAATCTCGTTCCTCCATGCTTCTTTTGATATCCTCAACCAAAAAAGCGTATTCAATTTGTTGCCTTCTCTAATCTTGATCATCATGACTGCCTCAAGGCAATCGCTTTCAATATCCAGTAGATGGGAACAGCACTGCAGTGCAAGAGATATACCTCCCTGAATGGCTAGAAGTTCAGATTCTAGGCCATCATTACAAAAAAAAATTGCTTGCACACACTGAGTATAATTGACTCCTCATGGTCTCTGAGAACCATGCCTGCTCCTGCTTCATTGTTGAGGAAAGAACCATCAACATTCAATTTATTTTGGCCGTACACAAGGCATGACCACATCACATCAGGTTGCAGCCTTTTATTGTGTATTGAATCAACATGTTGAAAGCACAAAGTGGTGGCTGCTTTTCCTTTAACATGTTCAAAATTTGGGTATGTGCTAATGGAGTATAGTGTACGGTAGCTACATAAAAACCTTTTTGACACGTCATCTAGCGGAGCTCTTTTGAATGCACAATCTCATTTCCGACATACCACATCCTCTAGAACAGCAGTAGCACTTGTGCACGCATTACTTCTTCCAGATTGCAAAAGAACCTTGAGAATCAATCATCCCCAGTCGCACTAATGCATGTTAACGCTGGCAAAGACCAATCCAATAGCAATGCATTCCAAAGTTTCCTAGCATTGGACAGGAGCAGAATACATGGAAAGTGTCCCCCATCTCCAAAACCACAAATCAGACATGTCGCACTCATAGCCATATTTCTTTCCATCTTGTTACTCCAGGTCGTCAGTGTTAGTAGCTAGTCCCCAACCAAAAGAAAGGACCTTTTGGGGGGGCTGGGTAGACCAGATAGCTTTCCATATGTCCCGCCCCCTTGAATGTTGGTATTGGAAGAGCTAATCGATGCATCATGAAGTTCATTATAAGCCAGCTTATAAGCGCTTTTGACCGAAAATTGCCTAGTTTTTTCAGGCGCCCACCCAAGGAAGTTAGAGCCAAATCTTGGAGATGGCCGGATCTTTTTTATTCCCATGAAATCCATTGGGAGAGAGAACTGTTGCAGTTTAACATCATCCCACATTGCCATTATGGTCCAGAAGCTCTGAAACCCACGGAATCGACATTTACCTTTTGGTGTTATAAGGCCACCTGTGGGAACACGAGCTATCCACCTTTTTTTGAAATAAAACGAAACTTTATTCATTAGAAATAACCAATACATCGTTTGTGAGGATGAGTACAATTTCATTGATAGGTTCCTCGAACCAATCCAAAGTTGAAGAAAATCTAGGTAATCTAGCAAGTTCATGTGCTACTCTATTTGCCTCTCTATTACAATGTTCGAATCTAGTCATGATGAAATCACATGCGTAGTGGAAGCAGTCATCGAAAATTGCCGCCGCCGCACCCGTTGACTGTCCTCCGTCCTGCATGGTCTCAATCACCTCTAGATTATCTGAGTTGATGATTAGGCGATTGCACCCCACCCTTTGCGCTAGTGTTAGTCCAAATTTGAGGGCTAAAACTTCTCCCATCAGAACATCCGCGCAATGGTCAATCTTTCCATTTCCTCCTGCAATAAACCTACCTTTGTCGTCTCGCAAAATCGCCCCCATCGTACCCTTCAACATGTCCTGGTCAAAAGAGGCGTCAACATTGAGTTTCATGAAACCCCTAGGGGGACAATGCCAACCCCCCTTTTTCATGGACGCCTTTGAAGATGATGCATTTACAAATTTGTATGTGAGGGCTATGATCCCCATTGATATCTGAGTTGCATTCTAAGTTGTTTCCTTGTGCACTAATTTTCGTCTCTCCCACCATAGATACCAACCTGAAATAGCTATCATTTCTCGTACATTTTGGTACCCCATAATACGCAAATCTTGATCTGGGAGAACTAAAAGGTATTCCAGTATCGCTTCTCCAGCACGATCAACCTCACAAGCTCTATCAATAATCTCATCTAATCCTAGCCTCTTCCAAACCTCCTTTGCTTTAGTACATAGGAAAAGCATGTGCTTCGTGTCTTCTACACCCTGAGAGCAAGTAGGACAAAGGGGCGAGACCTTCATGTGTCTATTAGCAAGTGTTGCCCGGCATGGGAGCGTGCCATGTAACGTACGCCATATAAAAATTTTGACTTTTGCCGGACAAGATAACTTCCATATCTGACACCAAATAGGGTTAGGTGTGGTTCGCCTCATCCCATTAGAGTGTTTTAGTTTACTCCCATACTGATCATTCCACTCCACGGAATAAGCAGACCGTACCGAGAACATACCATTTTTTGTATAACTCCAAGCAATGAAATCTGACATGTTATGTTGCGAAAGTGGGATTGAAAGAATCTGTTGAGCGTCAATGGGCCACATAGTTTGTCTAATCAGATCCTCATCCCAATTATTGGAAACAGGGCCAATCAGATCAACCACTCTTGATAACAATTGTCCCCCCTAGGAGTCACAATTTTCCTAGTGGCACAATTTGGGATCCATGCATCTTTCCAAATATTGATGTTATGTCCATTTTCCACTCGCCAAATATAGCCATGTTTCAGAGTAGTAATGCCTGCCATAATGCTTTGCCAGGTGAAAGAAGCATCATGATTTGGCTTGGAATTCAGCAGATCGCCATCAGGGTAGTACTTGGCCCTTAGAATAGTGACACACAAGGAGTCAGGATTATCAAGGAGACGCCATGCCTGTTTGGCCAGCAGGGCCAGCACGAGCTATCCACCTTAAATTTGGTGTTATAAGACAAAGCAACATTAACACTATTCACATTTGGATTGTTTTTTTATTTCTCAATGTGCATTTTAAGTTTGGACTTGAAATTTTTAGAGGCTGTACTCACATTCCTTATGAACATCAGATTTTTTTTCCGGAATTTCTTGAAACATCTAAAAGTGTTTTTGTGACATTGGAGGATCTGTGTTCTGTGAACACTGAACACCCGATACTTTCCCCTCCTTCCGCTGCCCGTCCTCACAGAACGGCTTCCTGTCACACACCCCATCATCCTAAAAAAAAGGAAAAAAAGTCAAACACCCCATCGAGATGGCGGACAGGGAGGCCCCACCTGGGTCCGGGTCCGGGAGGAAGCGGAGATGCAGGGACGCCGGCGCCGCGGCGGGCCTACCTGACCCGGCCGCCGCCGCTGGCGGCGGCAACAGGCTCCTGGCCGGGTACCTCGCTCACGAATTCCTTGCGTGCGGCACGGTCCTGGGTGAAAGGCGTGCGCCCGGCGGGCCGGACACGGGTTCCGAGGCGAGTCAGGGCCGGGGGCAGGCCGCGCGCTACGAGGCCGTGGCAGCGCTGGTGCAGGTGGGCGGCGCCTGCGTTCCCGGGGTGGTGAACCCCTCGCAGCTCGCCGCGTGGGCGACGACACGGTGAGGAGGCCGCGGGGAAGGCGTACATGTATGTAAGTGTAGCTAAATCCCTGCCGATCATCCGGAGTCTCATTAGTTAGAGCTTATGCTGACGATATAGGTTGGATGAGCTTGAGATCTGTACAGCTATGTTCTCAGTGATACCATACGGTTGGAGTACTACATATATGGTAGTAATATTGCCTTGCTGTGGTTGGTTCTACTAGTAGTGTCTGATCATGTTGGTGTTCATCGACTACTGCATTGATTTTTCTTCTGATCTAGTGATTCCCGAGGACTGAATCTAGGAAAATTAGTGCCACTTGCCTGTTGTAAGTTTCCTATAGGTGCGTAATTCTTAGTTGAGGAAAGGCTACTCTTAGGCTGGTCATAGTGGAGAGTAACTTAGACTAGTAACATACATATGTTACTAGTCTATGTTACTACCTTCATAGTGGGTAGTGTCATAGGTGTGGTAACATAGTTGTCTTTATTTATTACTTTGTAGACTCATTATGCATTGGAAACCGCTATGTGATGGTAACATATTATGTTACTCTATTTGCCTCTCTCCTCATTAACTACTTGCCACATCACCAATTTTGCTTATGTGGCATCTATGTTACTACCTATGTTACTCCCACTATGACCAGCCTTAGGCCAAAAACTATTGCAGCAAGCACAATCTGAAAACCTCGGATAGGTCATAGGTGATCCCCTATCCATCCACAACTGAGCACAGTAATAACCAGATAAATGTATATGATGGATGTAACCAATGATTACATCTTGAGCATGCGGTTCAGCATACAAAGGGCACACATGTTCTACCCTCGCTGCGTGGGAACTGTGGTGCGCCGCAGCCCGTGCCGCTCCATGACCCTTCTCATCGCAAGGGCAGCCGCATCACCAGCCTGCACAGTCCCTGTCGCCATGATGGCCACAAACTCCTGCTTTAGCTCCTCCTGTGCTCGCCTCTTCGCCTCTCCGAGGGGGTCTGAAGCTGCTGCCGCTGGCAGAGTCACCTTGGCCACCGTCGCTGCTGGAGCAGCAGGTTGCACGGCTGGCGGGGTGACCATCCTAGTGCCCTCGTCCACTGTATGGAGCTCAATGCTATTTATGGAGGTCTCTGTCTGCGTCGCTGCTGCTGGAGCAGCTGGTTTTGCCGGAGGCGGGATGATGCCACCATCACTGTCAACCATTTCATCAGCGCCAGTTTCATTGGCGGTGACTGATCTTGACTCTATCTGGTCGTTGTTCATGGAGGGCTGTGTCTGCCCCGCTCCCTTGGGAGTGAGTAGCACCACCACAGGCGGGATGATCCCGTCATTACTCACTGTCTCATCCGTGGCAATTTCATTCTGAGTGCTACTTGCGGAAGGCTGCACCTCCCCTGCTTCTTTGGGAGCAGGTATGATTCCACTGTCATGGTCCGCCGTCTTGTCAGCACCTGGTTCATCGGCGGTGACTGATCTCGACTGCATCTGAATGTTATTCGTGGAAGGCTGCGTCTGCGCCGCCGCTGCAGGAGCAGGCACGAATTGTGGAGGCTGTTGTGGAGCAGCTCCGGCTTTCATGGTTGTCTCCAGCCCCTGAATCATCGGCACTGGAAAGCCAAAGATAATAGTTTCCATTAGACCTAGACTAGACCGTCGCCCCAAAATTCAAACTCTTAAACCGGGAAAAGGCTAGTGGGGAGAAGAGATCTTACTTATCAGCGCGCCAATCGGGCTCTTCATTGCCTCCTTGGGCTGGTCGAGGATGTAGCTCGGAACCGTGGAGCCAACGAGGAACTTGACCACCTCATTGCTGAAGTGGTTGCAGTTGTTGCTGAGGAGGTTGTAGGTTTCTGGTGTGTAGCGCGGGCTGATCTCGTGCAGAAAGTCTTCAAAGTCCTCCTTGCCGACATGCGTGACCCCAAAATGCTCTACTCGGGCAGGAGTCCCGTATGGCGTCCTTCCAGGCCGGTCTTGCTGGACGCCTCCCCCGAAGAAGTACTCTTTGCCATGAACCACCACGCCTGTGTGCCTGTGATGGTAGGGCCATTATCCATCAACATTAGGAGTCGTCAAGTTTGCAGAATATACATATTTAGCGCGTAAAAAGGGCGCTTCATCCATAATCCGCAGCTACATGCAATTGCATAAGAAGAGCAGAAAAGCCTGGAGATGCATCTTGTGAAATGTAGGATGTGCACTGGGAATTCCAATCTGCACCAGGGTCCCTTCCTACTCTATTTTCGTCAGATTTTTTGGAGCAGGAACGCACTGGGGTAAAGAAAAATTGTTTTGCGGTAATATACCGGGGGAGTAAAATCTGCTCAATGGCATTTCCTTTACGTGATTGTGTAAGAAATCTACTGGAGTCCAGTAGGTAAGAAACAGAATGGTGCCACCAAATTTTGTTGATCTATATAAATTCGGCAGATGTTACAACTGAGTTATTAGCCTGCATTGAGTAGATGCATGTAAAATAGACAATCAAGACTACAGATGTGCCCAGAAATCTAGAGTTTGCAGAATTCAACTGTAATTTCTATTCGAATCTAAGGTCCTGCAGACTCAAGATAAACTTTTGTTGACAAGGTGAAAACCGAAAATGCAAATGGAGACCGAGCTCCATGGAGGTCTTAATTTGAAATCATCAAAATTTAAACTTTTCAGTTTCAAAAAACTCAAACAGACACACATATACCTAGAAACATAATATACATGTGTGTAAATTCAGGTCGAAATACGTTAAAATGAGAGCTACAAAAAAATGAATCTAAGGCTTTTTAGCACATGTAGTGTTCCTCCTCAAATTCCATGATTTTGTTTTTGTGTGCGCAGCTCGCAATTCAAGGTATTTCATCTTGAAATTTTACACACATGTACATAACATCCTTGTATCACGTGTATTCTTTTCAGAATTTTTTGAAACTGAAAAGTTTGAATTTTGATTTTTTCAAAATTAAGGGCTTCATGGAGCTCAGTCTTGATGTAGCCAACCAAGTTAAACACCACGAGTGAATTAGCGGCGGCAACTTTTATGTTACAAATTTTCTACTCCCCGTCCCATAATATAAGATGTTACAAATGACATGTTATTACAAGCAACAAATATAAGAAAACTTTTATGTTACAAAGTTTGGTACGGCGAGACGTGCATGTATACATGTGGCTTATTAATTACTCCCTCCGTCCCAAAGTTGAGTCATTTACTTTGGGAGGGAGGGAGTATTATATAGGGAAAGAAAAGAAAGTCCTATTCCCGATGGTCGTCAAGAGGAAGAAAAAGATTTGCATGATTCAAGGATGCTCACCAGATGGCATCGATAGGCTTGCCGAGCACCGTGGTGGAGAGCTGCCGCGCCATCCCCCGACTGAGATCGTAGATATGCAGCTTCACCGGGTACTCATCCTGCAGGGCACCCCCAACCATGAATCATCTCTCAGCTCCAATGCTCCATGCAGAGCTGAGACATCACCAGCTTAATTCCAACGGAAAACATAGGCACAGGCACAACAATTCCTTCCTTCCTTACCTCTGCCACCTTCCCCCGAGCCTGGCCTCCGAAGCATCCGCACCTGGCAACAACAGGCAGCTTCCATGACGACAGAGAACAACAGCATGCCCGCTCGAAGCAAGACCGCCGGCCGGCAGCTTCAAATTTCTACGGGGCACATAGAAAAGAGTAAGGATGTCGAAGGAAGATATACCCGGCGAAAGTGAATCTGCTCCGGCGTGGCTTCGCCATGTCCGAGCTCGTTGGATGGAGTTTGCACGCACGCACCAGAAGGCGAGGTCGTTGAATAAAAGCAAGCGGCAGCCGCCCCAGCTCCGATTGGTTTGGTTCTGTGCTGTTCAAGGACTCGATCGCCTTTGGTTTTCTTTCTTTCTTTCTTTCTTGCGCAGGGGTTTCTCCTCTCCTCCTACTCCTCCTGTCTGCGTTGCGTGGAGTGGAGAGGACTCCGGCCCAGACAAGGCAAGAGGAATGCTACCCTGATGTTTTTTTTTTCTTCTTCTTTGGATTTGGATTGGAGGCGGACAGGTCGGGTGGTTGCTTCTTGTGTTGGTGCGGGAAACAAGCAACCATCAGTGATCAGACCAACCGCCGTCTCATCTCCGTTTCCAGCAGCAGCTGCTGGTCATGGTCAGGCACACACACAAACAAAACCATATTGACGCAATCGCCTTATACTACATGGTTTCATTTGTAGTTTTTGTACAAATCACTCGACTAAATTCTGCAGGGATCCAAGCCCAGCCGTGCACTGCAACTCTTGCTTGCTTTTACACCAAGAAAACTGAAACCAGCCAAGTCCCTGCATGTATTTCCATCGTACTCTATCTCTGCTTTCAGAATCCCGCAAAACAATGGAAAACCCCTTCAAAGTTAACGCACCCGATACATCATTGGTTTTTGGTTACACTGAAGACTTTTATCTATTTGTATGTATCGAGGTGTACCTTTAGTGGAACTTAAGAATTCAACAGGTTGAGCCCCGCTTAAGCCCATGGCAACAAGGCACCAATGATTCCAGGGCAAGAAGCAGACTATTAGGAAATTTGTATCAACAACCAGAGTGATTGATGATGTCTCAGCAACCTGCATCTACACCTTACATGGGCACATATCACGCGCACATTAGTTTACACATAATTTGGTCTAGTCTAGTTTGCTACCTATGCTTACATGTCCGAATGAACAGTCCTTTCAGTAATGTCACCAAATAATTGTTTAGAGATACTGAATGTGCAAGGACTGCGCCATCCAAAGATGCTGACATAAAAACTGCCACCGACTATCCAAATTCAAATGTTACGAAGATCGACGAAGAGTGAACAAAAGGTCAGGAAACTTACAAACAAATAGCAAACGCGTGATATACTAAAGCAAAATGACCAGTACAAGGGGCAATGCCGCTCACAGCAGCCATCAGCAAGCCAAATATCCTGACCAAATTATTGGTGTAGCATTTCCAGTAAAGCAATGTGTATGTTCACGGGCAGCTAATCTGAGTACAAGGCTCATGCTGTTACTTTTTCTCCTCGCCAGCAAAAAATTAGACACAAACATATCAGAACAATTAAGATATCCGCACAACCATCTTGTTCTTCTTTCCGGCAGATAGCAGCAGCACCTTCCCGTCAACTATATCACCTTCCTCGACCAACTTATCCTCACTATCGATCTTCTTGTTATTCAAGTATAGACCACCCTGCTTTATAAGCCGCCTAACCGCTGACTTGCTTGCAAGTAAACCTGTAGAGGCAGCCAGATCAACCAGGGGAGACTTCAATACTTGGTCGTATGGTAAGGAACAAGACGGTACATCATCTGCTATTCCCTCAATTGTTTGTGAGTCCAACTGTGTCTGTGCCCCAGGCCGCAAGGCCTCAGTTGCCTTCAAGGCCTCCTCCACTCCCTCCTGGCCATGGACGAAGCGTGTCACCTCTTCTGCAAGCCTCCTCTGAACCGTGTTTGGCACATAGCCGGGTTTCTTCATCGATTCTTCCAAGTCATGAATCTCATCCAAGCTCAAAAATGTAAGGATTTTCATAAACCTTACGACATCAACATCCGGGACTGAGAAAAAGTACTGGTAGAACTTGTAAGGGGAGAGCATCTTTGGTGAGAGCCAAATCGCCCCATCTTCTGTCTTCCCAAATTTGGTTCCATCGCTCTTCAGCAAGAGTGGGAATGTCAGACCGTGCGCTCCCTCAACCTGGAGAATTTTCCGGATCAAGTCGGTACCTGCGGTGATGTTTCCCCACTGATCACTACCCCCAATCTGCACATTGACACCCATGTTCTTGAACATGTACAGGAAGTCATAGCCCTGGAGAAGCTGGTAGGTGAACTCAGTGTAGCTCATACCATCCTCTGAATTGAGTCGCTTCTTCACACTCTCCTTGGCAATCATCGTCCCGACACGCGCGAACTTGCCCACCTCCTTGAGGAAATCAAGCAATGTGATGTCTTTCCACCAGTCGTAGTTATCCAAGATAACGAAGGAACCCATACTTTCCCCCACATTGCCCGATTTCTCTGATAAATCCTGGTCAGAATTGGCAAGAGCATCTTCATGTTTGTCCAAAATCGCTTCTTTACCAGATTGGGCGAGATGAGATGGCTCGGGGGCGCGGGTGAGGATCTGAGCGATGAGCGACTTGATCGCGTCAGAGTTGGCGACCACGGCGGCGAGGTCTAGCTCAGGGCGCTCGGCGCTTTTTCCGGAGGGATCTCCTACGCGGCCGGTCGCTCCGCCGACGAGCGCGACGGCGGTGTGGCCGCAACGACGGAACCAGGAGAGCGCGACAAGGCCGAGGAGGTTGCCGAGATGCAGGCTCTCGGCCGTGGGGTCGAAGCCGCAGTAAACCTTGAGCTTCTGCTGCTCCCCTGAAGCTGCCGAGGAAGAACCGAGCGCCTCGGAGGTGGTAGCCTCCACGAGCCCGCGCTCCCGGAGAACGTCCACTACTCCGCGCCGGACGGTCGTGGCTGCGGCGTTTGCTGAAGCCAAAGCACTGGCGGAGAGGTGGCGGCGGCGGCGAGGGTCAGGGAGGAGGAGGAGGCGATGCGGACGGAACAAGGCTCTGGAAGAGGCGGCCATGGCGGCGGAAGCCATCGCTGGGAGAGGAGGCGGAGGTGAGGGTTCCGGGCCTCGAGCTGTTGATAGGGCTTGCCGGGTTAGCCAGACGCCGAATGATTCCGCATGAGCAGCGCCACATCGGATCACACACTCCCTATACTTTATGGGCTTTTTGTAGGCCGACCTACTGGGCCGTCATACACTCATGTCCATGTTCATGGATTGTCATCACAGGTCTCTTTATCACTGGTCATGTTTATCTCAATCATCACAGGTCTCTTTATCACTGGTCATGTTTATCTCAATTAGAACAATGCCCGTGCATTGCGACGGGATATAAATATTTTAATATGTTAATTTGTGATTTACCTGTCAATAATAATGCGATTGTGTAGATACTCATTAAATTATGTACGTGAATTATCTTATATTTTGATTAGAAATTTGGTAAGTAAATTAAAGTGAAATTGGTTCAGAAGATAAGTAAACTAAGGTGATTGATTATCATATGCATGAAAGGTTGGACGAAGGGGTGATGGAAAGAAAGATGAAATGGGAACCTTACATTCTTTTTAAGTAGTAGAGATGATGTAGGGTAGAACCCTAGTGGCCCGATCTTTCACGAAAGGAGCGGATCCCGCGAAGAACGCGAAGAACACGAGGAGGGAAACGAGGGGAAAATCACGAGGGGGACACAAGAGAACACTCAAACCAACAAGATATGGTCACACATATGCTAGATCCTCGAAACACAAAGAGATACACGATCCAAATTCAACAAGGGACGATACAAAGGGTAGCCGGTTCTTCTCCGTGAGGAGGTCTTGAATCCACAAGGGGGTCTTCACTTAAAGGGGTTTTGAATCCAAGGTGGATCTTCTCCTAAGAGGGGCCGCAGTCTCTCTCAAGGAGTAGATCCGATATGCATGAGCGAAGCTCTATCTCACAAATGAGCTAACACAACGCTAACCTTAGAAAGGAGGAGGGAGAGGTCTATTTATAGTCTTAGTGCAAATGGCGGGTGAAGTGAAGGGGTACATGGCCAAAGGCCCGCGGCTGCACACAGGCAGGTAGCGGACATCCGCTGGGGACCGGACATCCGGTGGCTCAGTATGGTCCGGACGTCCGGCGCGCGTCGAACGTCCGCTGATTCTTCTCGGGACAGGTGGCATCGGACGTCCGGTCGGCGTCGATCGTCCGGTCGCTGGGCTCGGTCTGTGGCTGGTCGAGGGAGTGTCGGACGTCCGGTGGACGCCGGTCGTCCGACCGCTGTAGAGTGTCGGACATCCGGTGGCACGTCGGACGTCCGGCTGTTGTAGACTCCGCAACTCCATCTTCTTCTGTCTTCGCTTCCACGCTTCCCTCGCGGATGGTGTAGTTGTTCCTTGGCGCTTGCACTCCTCGTCGTCCGTAGTGTTCCGACAATACCTATGCATGCACATAAGTGGAGTGTCAAGTAGTATACCATCCTCGAAGAGGTTAAGTGAACACGGGTAAAGGAGATGATTCACCTTTGTGTATGTGAAGTGGATGTCGAACGTGTCACTTGACAAACGGACTCTTGACATGGTGATGTCCGTAGGATGCTCCGCATCATCTCCCCTCCCTTGGGAAAGATCCGACCTCGGATCAAAAACCAAATCACCATGGGAAAGAGATGGCTTCGACGTGTAGAAGTGGACATTCACCAAGTTCTTGTCATCTTGAAGCTTGAAATGGGCACTCTTCAATGTCGCACCGTCTTTGATTCCTTCAAAAGGATTAAGGACAACGAACACTTGGAAAAACAAATGTGGTTAGCGCTAGTGCAAAACCAAGCATTCAAGAGTTTATTCACCAAACAAGTATCGTCATCATCCAAAGCATATGGTGTGACAAAGGATTGTGACATGGCATGTACGCATATCAATCGAGCACAAGCAAATAAATCATGGGTTCAAGCATGTGAATGTGAGGTAGTGATGCAAATATGTGTGACAAGAGAAGAAGCATCTACCTCAAGTTCATAGCTAGCATTCACAATTTTCTCAATGAAAGGTCTATGGTAGGCATAGGAATCATTCACAACACCAAATAAAATGAAGTGTCTAAACACATGTGTCAAGTGCAAGACAATCCAATCATAATGTGCATTGGGTGTAGTGAATATCGTGTGGCACTCAACACAATAGAAAGAGCAATTGTTCATCATGTGTGAGGCAATCAAGTCAAGCATAGTAATCAAGTCGTGCAAGCTAGTAGTGCGAAAATGCAACATACTAGAGGAAATCATGGCAATCATGTCATGTGAGCAAATAATAGACATAGACAATGCACATGACATATCGCAAGTACGAACACAAAGCAAAATGAAAGTATCATCATATGCATGGGGCACAAAGCAAACATGGCAATAACAAGCAATATCTCCGCCAAGCTTGCAAATACACATACAAGTATGAGAATCTATCATCATGTGTAATGCACAGCATGAGTCACGAATGCGTGGCAAAAGCATAGTAATGAGCATAGCATGCAAAGTGAACATGGAAAGATGGGCATAGAATATGTAATGGACAATAAGCCATAGCCAAGTGATGTTCATGTAGAAGAAATGCGTGAAGTCTTTGCGCGAAGAGAGTGGTGGGAAAAACAATCCATGGGATCCCAAGTCATCATTGCTCTCTAGAGCTCGTTTTGTCAACTCGTGGGATTGCGAGGTTGACAAGTATTCATGGGTACCTACACAAAAGAAACACAAATGAAAGAAATTGTGTGTGTGGTAAATGTACACATCATCCACCATGATGTGTATGTGCACGTGAGAGTTAGCACAAGATAAGCATCGCTCAAAGAAATTTAATGCATGGTATAAGAACATGTCATCCATCATGAAAGAATAGTTATTGTGTATAACATGATGGGGATGCAAATTGAGCATACAAGTATAAGGATCATGCAATGGATGGGAGTGATCAAAATTTCCTAAAATGTATGAGGAAACTATGGGGGTCTCCTCATGTGCAATATTGGAAACATCATATGGAGAAAATGGGTAATACCCAAAACAATGCATATCCGAAGCTAGGTGGTCATGGCATGGCATATGAGATAAAGGATGCAAAGGGAGCATACCAATATCATCACAAAAAAACAAATGCCGATAACCATGGGCTTGTCATCTATGCCATATGTGCAAATTGGGTTCATTTTAATAGCATATGCATAGTCACTATGAAGAGATTGCAAATATGACATATGATTGATCTCATGCATAGCATATGACAAGTCAAGCGGATTGGCAAACATGATGTGACCGAGAGAATTAGCACAAGAAATCCTATGTAACATGGCATCACAACTAATAGACTCCACATGGCAATCATCATACTCATCATAAATGGGTAAATCATCGCATGGGGAAGTCACACTAGCATGAAGCATGGAAATAGGTTGATCAACATCATGCAAGCAATCAATGTCATGATAGTCCACTAGTGGGACAAGAGCATCACCTTCACCTATGTTACCTTTGTCATTCCACTCACGTGGTGTAGGTGAGGTGGGTAAGACCGAATGGTGGTCAAGATCATCATTGTGATGGAACCATGTGGGGGGTGCATCACATTGCACCATGGCCATCGTCTTGTCCAAAGGTAGGACGAAGTCGTCGAGAATCGGCGCGTCATCATATAAGGGACCTAGCACCAAATGAGAAGACACAATAGAGGTAGAGGTCAAGTCGTTAGTGTTAAAAGTGGCCTCACATGACCTATCAACTATCTCACTCTCTCTATGTGGTGGTTCACTCACTCCCACAAAATAGGTGCACTCAATCTCACATATGGTGGAGTCACTCATCTCACTCGAATGGTGGGGGTTGTGGCTCTCCTCACATGGGAATTGACGCAACACATCATATATGGGGCTAGTGGTGAAGTCACTCTTACTCTCAATATGGTGGCAAAAGTCACTCAAGTCATCAAACGTTGTCGTGGTCGAAGGGAAAATCCCATGCTCAACCATCGCATCGTTGTCGCCATGGATGAAGGCCGAAGATAGCACATCATCACTCTCGCCTCCTAAGATAGAAGCATCATCCTTGCTCGCCACCTTGTTGCTCACCTTCAAAGCTTGGTCCTTGAGGGTCTCCATAGTCGTACTCGTCGCCGCACCGTCTTGAAAAAGAGTCAAGGAGGACTCGGCATCGTCAATGCCACAAAGAGGGATGGCATTGAACTTGGGAGTATCGTCTTGGAGCTCGTCGGGCTTGGACATCATGGTGGTACTAGCCTCATGCTCATTCTCATGGAGCTTGGTCGTTGTGAAGTGAGCTTGGGGTGGAGAAACTTTGGCCTTCATGAGTTCTTGTTCCGCCTTGAGAGCACCAATGTAGTTGTCATCGAGGGACTTGTAGTTCTCGAGGAAGATCGTCTTGGAGATGTCATTGTGCAATCCCATCATGAAGTGGAACTTCATCGAAATGGGGTCGTCCACGCCGGCTCGTCGCAAGGCAATCTTCATCTCCTTGAAGTACTCGTCGATGGACTTGGATCCTTGGATGGTGTTCTCCAATTGGCGTTGAAGTTGTTTCGTGTAGGTTGGAGGCACAAACTCTCGCCGCAAAGCTCTCTTCGTCTTGGGCCAACTCATGTCGTAGCTCTCCGAAGGTGTGTGAAGCCACCATGTGGACGCCTAGTCGTGGAAGTTCCTTGTGGCGCACTTCACTTGATCTTCGGGAGGGACTTGATGTAGCTCGAGGTAGTTGTCCATCAAACGCTCCCACTCGAGATACTCCTAGGGTTCTTGAGTCCCATATAAAGGAATCGTGTGGTCGATGTCGAGGTCGTAGTAGCTCGTGGAAGTCGCGGACTTGAGCTTGGGGAGCTTCTCTTGAGCGTAGTCTTGAGGTGCTTGTTGGCGAAGATGCCATATATCCGAAGGCAAAGATGCCTTGAAGTCGCTTGGCGAAGATGCCAAAGTGGTTGGTGTAGCCGTAGCTCCGTCTTGGTGGTGCTTGTCTCGCGATCTTCTCTTGTGGTCATGAAGTTTGGACTTGGTGTGAAGTAGGGCTTGTTGCGACTTGTAGGTAGGCGCATCTCGAGCATCTTCATGATGATGTTGTCGTTGTCGTGCTTGAGCTCGATGTAGATGTCGTTCGTCGTCGTTGTGCACATGTTGCTTGGAGGTGACTTGCCCTTCATGACGAGGTGGATCACGAATGTGATGGTGGTCGCCATGGAGATGTGGACGAGGACGACTTGCGCTTGCATCATTTTTGTACTCCGAAGACTTGTGACTTGAACGTCGCCGCCTTGAGGATGATGAAGGGGAAGAACGGTTGATCAACAAGGTACGAATCTCCTCCATCCTTGCATCTTGCTCCTCCTTTTGTGCGGAAAGCTTGTTGTTGATGTAGTTGTACACGCCGTCGTTGTTGTGGAAGACCGGAGATGAAATGCCTTGCCTATCCATCACAAGATTCGAGCCAATATGAGTGGAGAAAGAGAAGAACGAATACCAAATGTACCTTGACCGAAGATGAAAGTGGATCAATGATCACTCCAATGTGGACAAGGAAATAGCACAATTGGTACCAATTCTTGTTGGTTTCTCACACCTACACAAATAAGGCTTATGGTGAAGCTCGGTGAGGATAGTGGCACAAAAATTTGATGTAAAATGTTAGCAAGAGTCAATAATGTTGAAAGAGATTCACAAATTCGCAAGTGTAACAAGTAGACCAATAGCAATATGTGGCACACGGAAACACACACACGGATAGATAAATGGGGTCGTGCAACCAAGGATGAGCACAAAATGTGGAATCGACGGAAAACGCTCATGTTGCACAACTCAAGAGAGACGCTAGCACGATTGCTCTATAGGCGGATACGACACTTGTGCACAACTTATGATATGCAAAATGGATAAACTTTTTATCCCAAGTATGCTATGTATGTATGGTTCCCGGTGTTTGATCCAAGATGATCGGATATGACAATCTTATGCATTGTGGTGGATGATATGGCTATTGCTTACAAGCTTCTTTGCTCTTTCTCTTTTGCTTAAAAGCTTATTCTTTTTTTATCCACTTTGCGAAATGCACAAACTAAGATAGTAATTGTGTATATGCGGGAACAAACTTGAGGCACAAGGGATGATATGATACCAATATGATATGGTATGTATGCAATGTATGGTGTAGATCACTAATGTGCACAAGTAATGTTGCCGGCAATACTCAAATGGCTAGTCTCGATAGGCAAGTAACGTAAAATGGGCTAGGGGTTATCAATGCAATGGCAAGGGAATATATAATGGAGGGGTACCACGATACCAAGATGATATGGAGGTTACCGTCCGTGGTGATGATGAGTGGCGGTGATCTTGATGGAGATACCAAGATGATGGAGACTCGTCCCTAAGTAGCCGAAACACCTTAGGAAACGGAAAAACCGCGAACTCAAAATCTCAAACGTCAAATGTCAAAATGGTGGTAGCGGGATGCGGTGGTGGTTGCGGAAGCTCAAAGGGATTGCGAAAATGCAATGATGGGTTGTGGAGTACGCAATGCGGAGGTGGAGGGTAAGGTGGTGTACTATACACGGTGTCGGAGTTGGAAGCACGGTCCCTAAGTAGCCGAAACACCTTAGGAGACACAACTCACAACACTAACAAAATTGGGTTAAGTTGACGTGGCGGAAGTGTATAGTGGTCAAGCCTTTGCGAAAGTGGTGGTGGTGGTTGATGAAGAAGCAACCGTCCCTAATTAGCCTATACACCTTAGGAGACTTAAATCACTCCTCAAGCAACCACTAATACGATGGGGAACAAAATTGGTTAGGTTGCGGAAGTCCGTGGTGGTGTAGCGGATGATATTGTGGAAGTCCTAGACAAAGATGCCAAAATTGTCAAAATTGATGTAGTCAAAAGATGTTGGTGGTATTTTTGTGGGAAGGAGGATGTCAAGAGCTTTTCAACGAGCTAAAGAACGTCAAAATCGGACTCCGGATGAATTAGTTATGGCCGAAACAAAATTTGAGCGAAGTTGATATCTACAGGTAGCGGACGTCCGGAAAAAACGGTCGTCCGGTGGCCGGACGTCCGGTCGGGTCGGAAATCCGCTGATTCTGCTTGGGTTAGGGGGTTCCAGTCGTCCGGTAAGGTCGGACGTCCGGTGGTTCCTGCGGCTCCGGACGTCCGGTAAAGGGCCGGTCGTCCGGTGTATCGGGGTCAACTCGAGATCCGAGATTCGGGACGCGATTTTGGGCGGAATTTGGGGATTTTGGGGTCAAAATTGATGAGATTTCATGGATGAAAGATGTGGAAACTTGGGGAGATGCTAGATCCACTTGAAACCAAGCAAATCCATGGATCAAAATCAACAAAACATCATCAAACCAACAAATCACAAAAAAAATTGGGGCTATTTTTGGTGGGGATTTTCGAATTTAGGACGAAATCAAGCAAAAGAAGGCTAGAAGACGGTGGGGGAGGCTCCGAAATCGTGATCAACATGGCTCATAATACCAAGATGATGTAGGGTAGAACCCTAGTGGCCCAATCTTTCACGAAAGGAGCGGATCCCGCGAAGAACGCGAAGAACACGAGGAGGGAAACGAGGGGAAAATCACGAGGGGGACACAAGAGAACACTCAAACCAACAAGATATGGTCACACATATGCTAGATCCTCGAAACACAAAGAGATACACGATCCAAATCCAATAAGGGACGATACAAAGGGTAGCCGGTTCTTCTCCGTGAGGAGGTCTTGAATCCACAAGGGGATCTTCCCTTAAAGGGGTCTTGAATCCAAGGTGGATCTTCTCCGAAGAGGGGCCGCGGTTTCTCTCAAGGAGTAGATCCGATATGGATGAGCGAAGATCTATCTCACAAATGAGCTAACACAACGCTAACCTTAGAAAGGAGGAGGGAGAGGTCTATTTATAGTCTTAGTGCAAATGGGGAGTGAAGTGAAGGGGTACATGGCCAAAGGCCCGCGGCTGCACACAGGAAGGTAGCGGACATCCGCTGGGGACCGGACATCCGGTGGCTCAGGATGGTCCGGACGTCCGGCGCGCGTCGGGCGTCCGCTGATTCTTCTCGGGACAGGTGACATCGGACGTCCGGTCGGCGTCGGTCGTCCGGTCGCTGGGCTCGGTTTGTGGCTGGTCGAGGGAGTGTCGGACGTCTGGTGGACGCCGGTCGTCCGACCGCTGTAGAGTGTCGGACGTCCGGTGGCACGTCGGACGTCCGGCCGCTGTAGACTCCGCAGCTCCGTCTTCTTCCGGCTTCGCTTCCACGCTTCCCTCGCGGATGGTGTAGTTGTTCCTTAGCGCTTGCACTCCTCCTCATCGTCCGTAGTGTTCCGACAATACCTATGCATGCACACAAGTGGAGTGTCAAGTAGTATACCATCCTCGAAGGGGTCAAGTGAACACGCGTAAAGGCGATGATTCACCTTTGTGTATGTGAAGTGGATGTCGAACGTGTCACTTGCCAAACGGACTCTTGACATGGGGATGTCCGTAGGATGCTCCGCATCAAGAGATTTTAAGTAGTAGAGAAAAACAAAATCACTGGTCATTCCATGTTCATGGTGTGTGAGGCATAAGGTGATGGGTGGTACTAGGCGTCGGCCCAAAGTTTCGACCGGTCGCGCGTGGGCCATTGGATCAGGCAAAAAACTGTTCTCCCTGAGCTTCTTCCTCGCATTGGTCCCGCATGTCGCGCGGCTCCTCGGATGTGCGGCGTCGCGATCTGTTGCCTCCGGTCGCGGTACCGCGCCGCCCGTCGCTCCAAGTTAGATAGTTATCCTACTCGTCGTCGTGCTCGTCACCGCCGTCGTGGTTCGCAGCAACCCACCACCGACATCTCGCCTCCCGTGAAGCACGGTGGGAGTTCATGAATGGATGTAGAAAAAAGCACCGATAGTAGCAAAAAATTGATATGGTTGCAGCAAAAACTTCTGCCGTTGCTGGTTGTAACTATCCGTGCAAGGCGTAGCATCGTCGTCTCTGGGTGTTGTGGGTTGCAGCTTCTTGACAAAACGATTGTAGCATCTGATGTTGCCAGTTGCAGCCTTTGTTGTCCATAGTTGTAGCATTCGCCGTCGCCGGGGTCGTTCATGGTTGTAGCATTTGTCATCCATGGTTGTAACATCTTGTCAAAGGGTTGTAGCATCTGTTGTTGCCGGTTGCATCCTTCGTAGTTCCATGGTTGTAGCATTTGTCGCCCGCCGACAATTGGCCATTATTGTAACATCTGTCAAAAGGG